TATTAGTCTAGGATGCTGGTTATTTAATTTGCTTGATAGTTTCATAACTGTATTTACCAGTAAATGGTCCTGAGGTACAGTAGCAGTTCCACAAGTTGTAGTCGTCGCACATTGTTGGACACAAGGTCTAACATCACCAGATGTTATAAAGAATCCACCATTAGCACAATCCCTATGGAAAAAATGGGAATGAGACACTTGTTACTAGCTACCGGTATACCTACCTGTCTAGTAGAATGGGGGATGGAGTTTGCCTGACAGATAATGTTTTCCTGTAAAGGCCTCCATACACTAGGCAACATGTTGCTAGCAACTTCTGTGGTTACTTTGATCTTGTAATCATTTTGTTTCAAAAATAGAACAGAATTCTATTCTTAGACACAAGATCAAAGTGACCACAGAAGTTGCCAGCAACATGTTGCCTAGTGTATGGAGGCCTTAAGAAGTCAGTCACATTCTTCACGATGTCCTTTGAATAAGAAAAGACAAAACATGGGCATGTGTTCATCTAGTTAGACTAACTCTAATTCTAGACTGCACTCCTGAAGATAATCTGTACAAAAGGAAGACAGGATGCACGTATGGCTGCATAATTATACTCAAAAACTTACCCAGATGAAAACGAGCTGTCATAGTGAGCATAAACGCGAAATGTCTGATTAAAGACATCATCGGTCAATGAGCGCTTCACAGCTAAATGTCCAGGCTTTCTTAAATGCACCCTTGCTATCTAGTAATGAAAAATATGTGTTACTTACTTACAACCGGTAAACAGCAGCGGCTTTGTGTACTTTTTCCTCTCCGTGATGAGAGCACTGATACTCGCAATTACTTTCGATTGCTGAGAGAAGAAGAAGGCAAAAGCAAAGCAGCTGAGAACATCTGTTACTGATCATTGCTACAAGTGATTTGACAGCAGTGTCTGTACTGAGAATGACACTTCACGCTAGCTATTATTATTATTCTATCATGCCTACTTGTAATTGACCAATCAGATTGCAGAATGCCAGGTTTCTAAATCTATTAGATACCTCCCGGGAACACTTATTAACCTCCCGGGAACACTTATTAACCTCTTGGTTTATTAAATAAAATAAGCGAAACCTGGCGCTCTACGCTTATGCTCTTATTAGTCCAT